TTCAATTGCCAACTAATGTTGGTATCCTTCCCTTGTCAGCTCGTAATGCCAATTTTTTCAGACGCGTGTTGAAGTAGTGACAAGGCCACAACTCATCGAAGCCTACACTAGGATAAGGATGACCAAAGATGAGAACTTTATTGAAGTGTACGCGCAGATGGATGAGCAATTCAAAGAGGTATGAATTTATGGAGAGTTCTGAAAAAAAATTAGAGCAACAATTTCAGGAACGAAGAAAGCAGAAGCGAAGGTTACAAGATCAGTTGCGACGAATTCGAAGAAACGAAGAGAAAGGAAAGACTGGGCATACGCAGCAGGTATGCTTTTGTATTAGAGAAGTGGTGCTTTATATTGGTCGCGATTATTCTCCAAGGATTTTGGAGTTTCACATGTAAAACAGTCTCATTCTTTGGCCACGTGAGAATATGGTAATACTGCATTCCCGAACAGAACTACCACCATTTTGCTATATGTAGGCGTTAGTGTATCTGTCGTGTATGGATGTTTGTGAAATACGGCTGGATCGTTGCAACAATATATGTCCATCAATTCATTTTATTTCTCAGTCAGACGTTTTCAGCGCGTCGTCGAGAAGAAGCCTGTTCCTATCAAACCGAACTTGCAAAAAATGCGATGTTCTGCTTGTCATGGCACTGGTCACATGAAAACGAACAAAAACTGTCCTCTTTATGGCAAGGATCCAGCAAAGACACCGTTGAAGGATGCCGGGGTGAGAAACTTTTCTCTAAACAACTCTTATCGATTTGCTGGGTTTTAGTCCGGTACATCGGAAGGTGAAGAAGAATCAACTTCTCTCACTGGCGAGCTAGTGGCAGTAGAAGGCACGAAAGTGAAGATTAGTCGAAAAGTTATCAACAGTCACGAGGGCAAAAAGAAGAAGCTCAAGTATGTCCTGTTCTTTTATAGATTTTCTTATATTGCTAGGTTTTCTTTCTACTTTTTTACCGATGGAATTATTATATATTCTGAACGAGCTCTTCAAGGAGTTCACTTCCTCGACATTTGGCTGATGAAGCACGAAAACGAGGTGACGAGTCGATAGGTTCATCTGACGCTGGAGGCGCTTCGCCACCCATGTTGATAAAACAAGAAAAGGAAGGCGAATTTGATAGCGATTACGAACAGAATGTGACACCTGGTAAGCGTCAAGAAACTTTGCAAAAATCATATAGTTGAGCTTCTTCTTGCAGTAAGGCCGAGACTCAATGCTGGTGCTGGTATCTCGTCTTCGAAGCGACGTATATCCAGTCTACCCGAGGAGGATTATCTTCAAGGTCCACATAAGAGTGTGCAACGAATCCGCGCGGATCCAAAGGTGAGGACTAAAATAAGAATCATTTTTGTGAAATCACGATATATACGCTTACTATAGGTCACTATGGGCACATTGCTGACTGAGATTGTGAATGAGTTGAAGACCATACCTGGATCAGAACATCTCATGTTTGCTGTGAATGCCAAGAAAGTGAGTTGTAGGATTTCTTTCAAAAAGTTTGGAGGTTGAAGCGCTTCATTGTAGCTTCAAAATTGGATATTGTGCGGTTGTACTGTTTTTTTCTTTGTTTTTCCTTCTTATTTTCCTATGATATGACCTCATTGCGTTCCAGGTCAAGGATTACTATGACATCATCAAAAACCCAATGGATCTGCAGAAAATCAAATGTAAAATTGCAGACAACAAATATGAACTTCGTCAAGAGTTTTTGTTGGTACGTTAATTTCTGCAAACTAACGCAAGCAATAATTTTCGAAATTTTAATAGTATTACTTTTTAACATCATAATTATAGGATGTGAAACGTATGCTTGATAATTCTCGGCTTTACAATGGTGACAATCATGTGATCACAGATGCTGCAAAGAAGGTACTGTCGTGATTCACTTAATCTTGACTTTCAATTTTTTTAGATGTTTGAACAATCTTGACTTTCAATTTTTTAGATGTTTGAACTTGCATCGAAGCGGCTTGTGGAGAAGGAACAACAGTTGATGAAGCTAGAGAAGGCTATCAATCCACTACTGGATGACAATGATCGGGTGAGTTTTGAATTTTATGGTGAAAATCATTATTCATTGTTTTTTCAAAACCGACATTTCAGGTCGGATTTGGCTTTGTTCTCGAAAAGATAGTCCAAGCTTGCAAAAATATTCCGAAGTCTGTGCCTTTCCATACAAGAGTGGATGCGAAGAAGGTAATATTGTTGTAATTTACTGATTACTTCAAAGATTTATAGGTGCATTTTATTGTTCGCTGCTTTGATTTTATAGTCCATTGTTTATTGTCAGAAACCTAGGTTGGATTTAACTGAAGATCTTAGAAACCCGAGTTTACTCGAACGACATTTAGGTGCCATTCTACTACCAAAAAATCAGCAGACCCATGGATTTGGGTACAATCGAACAAAATGTGAAAGCCCATCATTACGTCACCGTTGAAGAGTTCAGAAACGATATTCATCAGGTGACTTTTTTTTCATAACTGGAAGTCCGATAATGTTTGGAAAATCATATCGATATCTTTGCAGATTATGATCAACTCGGAACAGTACAATGGACCCGCTGAAAAATCATCTTACACCGCAAAAGCGACAGAAATCGTTGCACTTGCTGATAAGATGTTGGCTGAGAATTCTGTTCAGGTAATTTTGTTTCTTGAATGCTTAGCAGTTGTGCAATTCTAATTTGACAAAAGCGCTTGAGTTTTATGTACTTTCAGCTATCCGAGCTAGAAGCAAATATCAATGGATTTGATCTCAACATCAATGAAGTTGAACCAGAAATCGAGGACGCGATGGCTAATGATGGTAACGTAAATTTTATCAGTTACATACGTAGCTCAGAAAACCACTCGACCAAGTTTTCTTGTTTTCACAATCCGAAAAGGCCCATAAGCGGGAGTTACAGTTGTCTAGAACGACAGATATTTTCAAATATGCTCCAAAAAATGAATTTTGCAGCTTCAAAATGTTAATGACATTCCCAATTTTTTCATTTGTGTTTTTAACGTGCTTTCATAAAATAAAATTATTTTGTAGAAGAGATGTCAGACGCCGAAGAGGGCGGCGTTTTGGTTGATGATCTTGCACTCAGTGGAAATGAGATGGAGGATGAGGAAATGGGTAAGCGTTTTTTTTTTGCGTACATATTTCCCTATAGAAAGCATTACATGAGAACATCTAACAAGAAAGCA